GCCACTTTACCATCAAGAGTGAATCTCCAGTCTTTTAGAGCTAGATAGCAGAGTGTCGGGTGAATGCTCTCCCATTTTGGTATTACTTCCTTCGACATGGCCGATCGGTTAACCAAAATAGTATACTTTGATTAACACTTTGCTATCAACATTCAGTTCTGTACACACAGATATACTTGTATGTATATATACATATATAAATATATATTGAATGAATACATTTGCATGTGTAAGTGATCTTGCATCACTGTTTATGTATATATATATATATATATATATATATATATATATATATATAATATTTATATATGTATGTGTGTGTGTGTGTGTGTGTGTGTGTGTGTGTGTGTGTGTGTGTGTGTATGTGTGTGTGTGTGTGTATGTGTGTGTGTGTATCTATAAACACACATACACATGTGTATGTAAATGTATATAACACATATATACACCCACCTGTATATATAGACACATACACATGGAATAACTATATGTATATACATATATATGCATATATCTATGTATATATACGTATGTATACATATGTATATATATATATGTGTGTATATATATCTATGCATGTATATATGTATGTACGTATAGGTACATATATATGCAGCCTTCGTGGTGCAGCGGCAACGCGCGCGATCGGTCACCCAGCGCGGGAGTTCGAGTCCTGCCCAAAGGGCCCGAGGTCAAGAGGAAGGACATCCACTCGGGGCAAGTCTCCTCCTGCCAGAACCAAAGTCCTTCGGAAGAAAGCAATGTCACAGCCATAAGAATGGATCTTATGAAAAATTTATATATGCCTGTGTGTGCCACATACAAACACACAGAGACATATACATATATATACACACATATGTATAAACACATTCTCACACACAGATATATGTATACACACACATTTAATATATATGTATATATGGATATATATGTGTGTATATGTATGTTCAAACTTCAATATGCATCATATACATACAAGGCGTCTGTGTAAGTGTATGTATGCAAAACGACCAAACAAATACATAGACGTTTGCCCTTTTTTCTAAGGAAACGTAGGTAAAAATTTATACGTTTTTCTTTACTTTACACTAGTGTCCCTTCAATACTTCACTAAAGGCAAACTTTGGATTGATAACCTCGTTCCTAAAGCACTAATAAGTGAAGATGACACTATCTAAACTGAATTCATTTAAATGGTTTCCTGTCTTTCATTCACGACTCTTAATGGATAATATAATAATATATTCCAGTCGTTCCTCACTTATTTTGAAATTTGACTTTTACATCTTACAAAAAAGAACTCGGGAATTCTTCAAAGACTGAGGAAGTACAGTTGTACGATCTGTTCCTTTCGGGTGCGTGAACCCCTGCTTGTCGAAGGCCACGCACAGGAGCCGTATATAAAGCGGCTTCCACAAGCAGTCAGCAGACACAGCGTCCTCGGTGAGCCAAGAAGAGGTCCAGCCATGAAGCTTGCAGTAAGTCGTTATATCTGTCAGAAAATGAATCAACACTTTTGTGCATATATCCATACATACATTTTTTAAACACAGACAAAACCACATTCTCATTATATATATAAATATTATTTCCATAAAACAGAAATATAAGCTATTATTTCAGTGTATATATGTGTGCATATATGTATGTATGTGTGTAACATTTATTTTCTTGCTCCCTTTTCGTTTTTATTGATAAAAATATTATGGGAAATGATTATAGGATCATGAAATAATAGAGCTTTAATTGTTTGATTCATAAAAAAAAAAACTTGGATAAGACAAAACGGAACATTCACTAATTCAAACTAAAAAAGGATGAACCGTATATTTAAGCGAAAACAACTAGTTTTCTAGGTTTTAGAATGATAATACAGAACTATTTTCCAGGCAATCGCACTGGTGTGCTTGGCAGTGGCCGTGGTAGCGCACGCAGATCGCGAACCACACCGTTACCACCACCACCCATATCGACACTACTCCTACCACCACTACCCCCGCCACCACCATGTCAACCCATTGCACGCTTATGGAGTGGCCAGCCATCCAGCTGGCACCACCTTCGTGGCTCCTCAAGTTCACGGCCTCACAAAGCGATCAGCTGACTCCACGCCGGAACCCAACCCGGAACCAGCAGCTGACCCGGACACCACCAATCCTTATAGCCATCAAGTAATCCACCATGCTCATCCCCACCATGGATACCATCATGGTTATCGCTACCCTTACTCTGGCTACCGCCACACCAATTTCTATGCTTACCCTCACACATACCACAGCCACCACAAGAGATCAGTCGAATCGGAACCCGAACCTCAACCTCATTACAGCTATCACGGACGCCCTCACTACTACAACAGATACTATCACGGTTACCCCCACTACTATCCTTACTACGCCGGTTACCGCTACGGCTACAGGGGATAAGGACGAGGTCAGGCAAGGACTGAAGTGGGACTTCCGAAGATGGTCCTGTACTAATGCCTGATAGTTCGGTTTGCACACGCCGGTTTTCTAGCCACTCGTCGGAGGATTCGCAAAATTGGGAACTCTTTTGAATCATGGAATAGCAGTTCACTGCGAAACAGAATAAAGGTTACAAAAGATAATGGAGAATTTCTTTATAATCCTGTAACATTTCAAGTTCTTATCTTATCGTTGAAATTTCAGCATTTCAATTGAATAAATCCGTAAGTTTCTTTATTAAGGATATAATATGAACGATATGAAATATTTCATATTTACCACATTTATCTTTTCCAATTTAAGTAACAACAATTTGTTTGACCCTAAATTTGAAACTATACGGATCTAAAAACAATAAATCAATTACCATTTTTAAGATCACATTCTTATTAACATCACATTTGCTAAATCTACTGTATATATCACTAATTTATCTCGATGGAAAACTGCCAACGGGATTCAGGTGATCTTTCGAAACAGAAATATAATAACTTCAATTATCATTGCAAGTGCCGTGTTTATAGAGGGACCAGCAAATATCGATGGCAGGAGACTGGCATAATTTGATGTTGCTCAGCGAAAACGAATTTTATTATTATAAGTAATGAAAAATATACACCTCATCGGCAAGATTTTACTCGCGTTTACATTTTCAATATCTACAACAATAAAATTGATTTTCGCTGAGCAACACCAAATTATGCCAGTCTCGCAGCCATGGATATTTATTGCTCCCTCACAAACACTTGGCACTTGCACTGTACACTTACCACTTACATTTCCTTTTACGTGATATTTTTGTCTCCAGTTTCTCTCTCCCCCTCCCCCCCCCCCCCTTTCTCTCACAAAGAAAGATTCGAATCTCATTCGGATATGTAAACCTGATGCTGTATTGGTGTCATTCAGAGAGGAAATAGACAGCGCCACCTTACCCTCTAGAGTGGATCTCCAGTCTTTTAGAGCTAGACATTAAAAGTGTCGGTGAATGCTCTCCCATTTTGGAATTTCGTCCTTCGACATGGCCGACCGGTTAGCCAAAATAGTATAATTTCATTAACACTTTGCTATCAACATTCAGTTCTCTCTATATACATGTTTACACACACACATAAATACATATATGTTTATATACATACATACATACACTACACACACACACACACACACACACACACACACCACACACACAACACACACACATATATATATATATATATATATATATATATATATATATATATATATATATATATATATATGTATATAAATATATATATATATATATATATATATATATATATATATTATATATATATATATATATTATGACTCAATATGTTTGCGTGCGTAATTGATCGTACATCATTTTATTTATGTGCATATATGTATGTATGTATGTATAAACACATATATACATACGTATATTAATGTATTTATGTATATATATAATAGATCCACATATATATAGATACATATGTTTAACTATGTTATACATACATACATACATACATATATACATACATATATGAAATGTATGTATATATATTGTATGCATACATATATATATATATAATATGTGTGTGTATATGTTTGTATACATATGTATATATATGCTTGTATACATATGTATAAATATATGTTGTATACATATGTGTGTATATATATATATATATATATATATATATATATGTGTGTGTGTGGTGTGTGTTGTGTGTGTGTGTGTGTGTGTGTGTGTGTGTGTGTGTGTGTGTGTGTAAGCGGCCTCTGCGGTGCAGCGGTGAAACGCACAATTGGTCACATACGCGGAGTTAAAATCCTGCCCAAAGGGTCGAGATTAAAAGGAAGGATTCACTCGTGGTAAGTCTCCTCCTGTCAGAACCAAAGTCCTTCAAAAGAAAGCAACGTCACAGCATAAAACCGGATCATATATTTATATGTGTGTGTATCACACACACACACACACGCACAGGCACACACACATACATATATATACATATGTATAAAAAATGTTCTGACACACGCAGAAACACATACACGGAAATATTTGTTTACAAACATATATCTATATATATCTATATCTATATCTATCTATCTATATATATATATATTAACTTCAATTCACATCATATACATACAAAACGTAAGAATATATTTGTATCGACCAAACAAATACACATAGACGTGTACCCTTTTTTTTACGAAACGTAGGTATAGATTTTATACGTTTTTTCTTTACGTTTACACTAAAGTCCCTTTTTAATGCATACTTTGGTTTGATAACCTCATTCATAAAGCACTTAAACTTTAAGTGAAGATGAAGACTGTCTAAACTGGTTTCACTTATATAAATTTCCGTCTTTGATTCACGGCTCTACAGGATTATATAATAATAATAATATCTTCCAGTTGTTCCTCACGTATTTTTGTAATTTGACTCTTACATCTTACAAAAAAGAACTCGGGAATTCTTCAAAGACTGAGGAAGTAGAGCTATACGATCTGTCCCTTTCGGGGTGCGTGAACCCCTGCTTGTCGAAGGCCACGCACAGGAGCCGTATATAAAGCGGCTTCCACAAGCAGTCAGCAGACACAGCGTCCTCGGTGAGCCAAGAAGAGGTCCAGCCATGAAGCTTGCAGTAAGTCATTATATCTGTCAGAAAATGAATCAACACTTCTGTGCATACATTTTTTTAAAACACACAACCACACACATTCACATTATATTATATAAATATGCATTTACATAAACGGAAACTGACATAAGCCTATATTTCAGTGTATATATATGTGTGTGCATATATGTATATATTTGTGTGTAACATTTTATTTTCTTGCACCCTTTTCGTTTTTTTGATAGAAATATTATGGGATCACTGAAATAATAGACCTTTAATAGTTTGATTAATTTAAATATAAAACTTGGATAAGACAAAACGGAACATTCACTAATTCAAACTGAAAAAAGGATGAACTGTATATTTTAAGCGAAAGCAAGTATTTTCTCTAGGTTTTTGAATGATAATACAAGAACCATTTTCCAGGCAATCGCACTGGTGTGCTTGGCAGTGGCCGTGGTAGCGCACGCAGATCGCGAACCACACCGTTACCACCACCACCCATATCGACACTACTCCTACCACCACTACCCCCGCCACCACCATGTCAACCCATTGCACGGTTATGGAGTGGCCAGCCATCCAGCTGGCACCACCTTCGTGGCTCCTCAAGTTCACGGCCTCACAAAGCGATCAGCTGACTCCACGCCGGAACCCAACCCGGAACCAGCAGCTGACCCGGACACCACCAATCCTTATAGCCATCAAGTAATCCACCATGCTCATCCCCACCATGGATACCATCATGGTTATCGCTACCCTTACTCTGGCTACCGCCACACCAATTTCTATGCTTACCCTCACACATACCACAGCCACCACAAGAGATCAGTCGAATCGGAACCCGAACCTCAACCTCATTACAGCTATCACGGACGCCCTCACTACTACAACAGATACTATCACGGTTACCCCCACTACTATCCTTACTACGCCGGTTACCGCTACGGCTACAGGGGATAAGGACGAGGTCAGGCAAGGACTGAAGTGGGACTTCCGAAGATGGTCCTGTACTAATGCCTGATAGTTCGGTTTGCACACGCCGGTTTTCTAGCCACTCGTCGGAGGATTCGCAAAATTGGGGAACTCTTTTGAATCATGGAATAGCAGTTCACTGCGAAACAGAATAAA